GTTGCCACCGCTCTCTCTATCAATTTGCCCAAATAGGGCAAATTGGACACCGACCGATAGTTGGCCAATTCGGCCGGGTCTAAAGATGGCTTTTTTAGGAGAGGGCGGACCATCGCTTCCTTGAGTGCCCCGGGGAATCGTCCCTCCAAGAGAGACTTGTTAATAATCTCCTGCAGGGCACCTCGAAACCCATCGTGACCCGTCTTAATGAGCCAAGAGGGGCACGGATCAAGGTCGCACGTGGTTGGGTGCACTACCGCAACTCTTCCAGGCTGAGTTGGCCGAAACTCACTAAACCCGGCTCCAAAGATGTGCAAGGGGCCTCAAGTTCACTTACTGTATCAAGTGTAGCGGGGAGGTAACGGTGGAGTGCCAAGACTTTCTCTGCAAAGTAGCTCGCAAAAGCCTCACAGCCGATGTCCAATTCCCTCACATTTTGCCTGCCCTGTGGCAGAGTTGTCAATGACCGAATCGTACTAAATAATTGCGCCGGGCGTGAGCTAGCAGATGCAATTCTGGCCACAAAGAACTCCCATTTTGCTGTACCATTTGTGTTTGCATGTGTGAAAGCATTGTTACCAAATATCTGTCGGTACGAGGGAAACTCAGAGTTGAACTATAAATAATGAACTGTGTCAGTAAGACACCACTGTAAATGTTCATAAATGAAGCAGTTGTCTGTAAGAAATCTACTCTGACAGCTTTTCTTGCTGGGATTTTTGCCTCTTCCTTGTAATATTTTTAAATATTTCATCCTGCTCCATAGCAGCACCAGACTTTTTGTAATGCCTTGAGCCATTTTACAAGATCTGCAGTGTTGCACAGCTGTGTCTCATAAGGTTGTTCGAAATGAAAGCTTTATAATATGCATGCTTCCCTTTTGCATGAACTTTTCAAGATATCTATAAATCTGGATACTATATGTTGTATTATGGCAAAGGTATGCCAGGCAGCGACATCAATCCTCCAATAAGCATGAACCGTTAAAATTTTATGTAAATATTTATAAGTAAAAAAAGAAATCTACTCATGGAAAGCATGGTGGTAAATTCGTCTTCGGGATGAGGGTGGATGATTAGTTCTGTAAGTATACGAAGAAAGTAAGAGGACAGTCCTTCCCTACACTTGAATCAGAAGGAATAAATAGGTCATCAGGTTTCATCCAGGAACTGGGCGGCCATACCCTAATGTGTAGAAAATGTGACCTAAAATATGTATGTTTTATTTATAGAATGCAGGCTGTTCCATTGCATTGTAGTGTAGTGGTTAAAGTGTTGTAATAAGGTATGTATGGAAGGCTTGAGTTCAGATCCCAATGCTACTAAGGAACTTTCCAGATGACCTTGGGACAATCACTCTTTCTTCCCCACAGAATTGTTATAGGGAAAGGGAAAGAAAAGTTATGTAAACCACCTTGAGCTCTTTGGAGGAAGGATAGTATAAAAATGCAATAGAATATTTCAAATTTTCTTCCAGTTATTTAAAAAATCAATTAAACCTATAATAAATAAACAAGGAAACAAAATTGCTTAAAGTGTTATGTGTATAGATGTATTTCCCTTTCCTTTTTAAAAATACCAAATGAGAAATGATTCCTTGTGGAAATATCAGTAAGGGAGTTTCTCATGTTATATTTATTAAAAAACTTTCATTCCTTTTGCAGCAAAACATCAGACTCTGATGCTTGAATTCCAGTAGGGTTTGGTTTTGCTGATATAAAAACATATTTGCTATTTAATCTATATACACACGGCTAGATTCTTGATCTGAATATTATAATTAGAATGTTTGATTTGCTGTTCATTAAAAGAAAAACGTGGCTCAAGGTACCATTTAAAGTGTACTTTTAAAAAGCAATGCATTTGACTTAACATTTATGTCCTGTTCATCATTGATGTGGGGTGGTTGAGCGCTGAAGTCTGTTAATGCAGCACTCTTTGATCCCTTCTTAGAAATGGAAAAAGTTACAGCTCTTTCACCACTTCAGCAGCAAATGGACGCTTGTACATCTTTTCACTCTGCACTCCCATGGGTCTCAGACTGATTAACAGAACAGAGATCAAGGGGAAAGTGTGTCTGATTGATGTCTTCTATGGGGTTTTGCTTGTTTTTATGACAAAGGACAAAAGTAGAGTGGTATACTGACATGAGATACTTTAGAGACTGGTTAGCCTTTGTATTTGGTTAGCTGCTTTTGTCCTTTCTGGAACATTAACAGTGCCATCCTAAACTAAGTTAGTCTGTTATAAATCCACTGAAGTCAGTGGGCTTAGAAAGGTATAACTGTGCATAGGACAGCATTGCTGTCAAAATGATGCTCAGAAGAAAAGACACCTTGGTTGTCACTACCGATTAAGAAAGAGCAGGACTTGATGTGCCATCACCAATTACGAAAGAGCAGGACTTGATGTGCCATCACTCTGGGGCATTATGGATGGTATCAGAGGTGTCCGCTCATGGTCAGAGTGGAAGTAAAGTCACGCAGAAAAAGGTGTTGGCATCCCAGAAACTAAATTGAGAACCTTAGATATAAAAAGTGAGGACTCTACCACATCAAGGCGTAGCTTTTTCTCAGTAACTCTTTGTTCTCATAATTAAAACATTGACATTGTAGTACAGGACCATCTTTGTGTTACAAGCCAGCATTTATTTCTGTATTCGCCAAAGCCACTTTACTTGATTTCTGAGGTTACAAAAATGGCATTTATAAAATTGGCTTTATTACAAGCCAAGTCAGTGTTAATCAAATACAATATTCTGCATTCTTCTCTTCCTACTTCACTCACTGTAGTTATTTCGGCAAGGAAATAAAAACTTTTATCAGTGACAGAAAAACCATTCTTTGCAGTCATTCCTAGGTGGTTTAAAACATTGACCGGACAGTGTGTTGGTTTTTAATTTGGCTTTCTTTCTCTTCTTTTCAGGAGGATATGGATCACAATTACTATACTTCTAGGACATATGGCCCTTTTGATTCTATCAGCCGAGATCTGTGGGTGAACATAGACCAAATGGAAAAAGATAAAGTGAAGATCCATGGGATCCTGTCCAACACACATCGGCAAGCAGCAGTAAGGCATTTGATATGCATTGCTATTTGGTCCTTTCAGTTGATACCATAATCACCCCCTGTGGTACATAAAATATTTATTTATTTATTTGAAATGTATCAATGCCATCCTTCCACCCAAATAAGGTCCCCAAGGCAGCAAACATCAAACATTAAAAACATTTAAAATAAAATATATATACAGTAATTCAGTAAAAACATATAAACAGACATAGCACCAAAAACCAGGGAGGAGTTATTGGGGGTATGTCAAACAGGACAAACGAAGTCTTCACCCACTGGCAGAAGACACCAATAGAGGGAGGCAGATGAACCTCCATGAGAAGGGAGTTCCAGATTTTAGTGCCACAACGGAGAATCCCCTTTCTTAGGTTGCCATCCATTGAGCTTCAGATGGCAGGGGCACCCAAAGCAGGGCCTCCAAAGATGACCGGAGTGGATGAATAGGTTCATGTGGGAGAAGGCGATCCTTAATGTATGCTGGTCCAAAACTGTATATGGCTTTAAAGGACAGTACCAGCACTTCAAATTGGGCCCAGAAATAAATTGGGATTCAGTGCAGATGGAACAAGACTGGGGCGGTGTGACTTTACAACCCACTCCAGTTAGCATTCTAGCCGTAGCATTCTCTACCAACTGTAACTTCCAGACAGTCTTCAAAGGTAGCCCTATTGCAGTAATCTAATCTAGATTTTACCAGTGGCAAGATCCCCCCATGAAGGGCAGCAGCTGGTTCACCAGCCAAAGCTGGTGAAAGTATCTATGGCCAATGCTGCCACATGTTTATCCATGTTTCTATTTAGTCAAGGATGTTGAACTTTGAACCTTTAGGGTCTGTCTGGTGGTGTGTTTTTTTTGTTATTTCCTATAAGGAGTTGCTTCAAAAATACTAAATTTATGCCTGTATATATTCCCACAGGAAATTCTCTATTTCCAATATGTGCCTTCAGTCTCACTGCGGAGTTGAAGCAAAGTTACACAATAATGCAAAAAAAAATTGCACAAAAAAGTTGGAAGCTGTCTTACCACTGAGTTCACTTGACAGCAGAATTGCACTACAAATTGACTAGCTTAACTATCATATTTAGAAATAAAAAATAGGAGCCCCGTATTTACCATTTACATTTGCATGAGGTGCTATAGTTGCCAGAATTTGTTGAGAACTATTAAATACTTGTCAAAATATTGCTGTTTAAAGTTATTGATTCTTGTCAAATGATAACAGAGATGGGAGGTGTAATACTGTTTCCACACCAAAATCTTCCTTGGCTAATTCTGATCACGTACTCCTTGTAGCAAGAACACTAAACCAAGCTTCTAACTTTACAAGTATAATTGGATGCTGCATGGCTTCCAAATGGTATTCCCATCACTGATTAAATATCGGAAACTGTTCAAAGAAAACAGTCAGTTTCAGAAATGTAGATTCAGTGTGGAAAGTGACATTTTCAGGGACTGTGATGGAACGGGATGTTGCTAAATCTGCCCGAAGAGTGAGTTCTGACATTCAAAGCTCTCCCCACCACCATCACTATTGCTTTTAAGAGATAGTTTGCAAACTGTTAAAAATGCCAAAGGATGTACCTGAGGCTGGGAGAAAGAGAGGGGGAGAAATAAGAGAGTTAGAATTCTGCTTGCCACTTGGTTGTGTCATCTCATTTCCCAAGGCCAATAAACTCAGCAACCAGGTGGCAGGCAGAGAGAAGAGTAGCAGACAGAAGAGAATCTCTATAGGATTCAAAAGAAAAGGGAGGTTATAAAGCCTCTGGATTTAGACTGACACAACATAATTTATAGAAACTCTCTTTTTGCCAGCCAAACTGAAAAGAATAGCTAATAAAATGGATGGAGCAAAGTGGAAATGCTGGAGTTTGGCAGTTTCCTAAGTTAAGAATGAACCCAATATAGCACAATATCAGTTATATGTGATTGCTGGATACGGTTGGTTGTTTGGTAATGAAAAACAAACTGCAGTACAAATGTGAATGCTTAATGGTATTGCTGTTCTGCCAACTCGTCTCCTCTTGAGTGCTCTTGGAAAGTGAGTTGGGAAGGAGATGAGAACAGTGTGAAAAAGCAAGAGCATTTTGTCAAAGAAATTACAACTGTTTTCCAAACCAAAGCAGTGCTGCCAGAACCCTAGACATGAACTTCAATGCTAAATTCAGATTAGTCATGGGATCTGTGAAGCTGAAAAACATGGTGCATTGATTTGGTTTGGAAAAGCTGAACTTGATATAGCAGCCCCCAGAGAATAAGAGAACTTTCTGATAATGAGATTGGGGTAGAGAGAGTGATGTTACATTCATAGATACTTATGTATGCTTAGAATCAATCATTTTGTTGAAGGTAGATATTATCGTGACTAGGGATGGACATGGTCCAGAAAAATGGCAGCCCATTTTGGTTTGAAGGTCCATGGGGGTTACAGATCCCCAGATGACAAACCTCCACTTTTAATGGACCAGGCCATGGTCTGCTTGCAAAGCCATGGGGTGCATGAGTAAAGGCCCTCACAAATCTCCTGGGAGGGACCCTGGGAGGGTCATGGACAGGTCTGTGTCAGCAGGATAGTCGAGTCCGTGCCCATCCCTAATTGTGACCATTCTGTTGTATTAATTGTATTACTGTAGGCAGAGGCATGGGGGGGCACTAGAATTCTGACTCAAGGTTTTACCTTTCAGGATTTGACTCTTTCCAAATCATACAAGCATTTTTGCAGCTGCACTTGGACAGTGGACAGATGGAAGTGCATATTTGTTGCATACAGGTTCAACTCCTGTTATCTCCACTTTAAAGATCTCATAAAAGGAAAGAGCCTCTTCCTGTGACCTTGCTGGATGGCTGCCTGTCACAGCCTACAATACAGATGGGTTAGTGGTCTGACACAGTATGAGGTAGTTTCACATAGGGGTGTGCAGCAAAAAAAATAAGTGTGTGTTTTGTATCTGGATATATTGGAGCTGAAAAAATACTTCTCCCATATATTTTTCAGCTCCATTATTCCCTATGGGGAATCTTTCCAGGAGGCTGGGGTGGTGTTTTTAAAGGTACTGGTACCAAAATTGCAGGGAAGCTGCTGGTGCTGTGCTTTAAATAACCCTGAAATTTCAAATCAATTGGACCAATACTAAGAGCCGCTAAACAAGGCGCCACCAGTCATCAATTGTTTCTTGGGGGGGGGGGCATGAAAAATGTAAACCTCAAGAATCTCCCCAGTAGAATGGCTATTTGCAAGCTATTGGTAAGCCCAACAAAAATAAAACCCAAGAATATAAAACTATGTAGAATGCAAGAATCTAAAACTATGTAGAACCAAAGAAACTAATACTGTGTAAAACCTGAGCATCCACTTAACAACCCCCCACCTCCACACAAACTCCAGCAAAGAATGAGCTCTTTTTTTTTTTTTTTTTAACTTGAAACTGATAGAATCTTACTTAAAGCAGCCTGGAAAGCTGGTCCTGGGATACACAAAAACACAGATGGGAAAATGGAGGGGGGGGGAGAGAAAAAACAGTCCCAGGAGCCTGTAAACACCGATTCCCGATATTCCCAGTTAATCCCAAATATTTCCTGGTTTTGGGGGGGGGCATATTTTTCAATATTCTGAAAAATTAGGTATTTTTCAGATATAATTGTTTCTCCCAAATATATATGGGATTTTTCGGGATACTGAAAAATGGGTCCCAATAAGATATTTTTGTATATATATTCAGCTCATTTATATCTAAGTGCCCATACATAGTTTTACACATTCCTTATGAGTGGTTGAGTTGAGGTATACAACAGGTATACAGGTATTCATACAGGTATTCACACTTCATTAAAATTTTGATTCTGAATTTGCTTACAGCTGAGTATCCCAAATATTCTCCTGATGAAATAGGAAAAAGAACATTGTTATTTCTGAGTTTGCTGGACAGGGTGGATATTGGAAAAATAGTTAAGCGTGTCTCAGGCCAGACCAGGCACAGAAACATCCAGTTTTTGTTCCTGCTTGTGAAATATTCAGCATGAGCAGAGATTGTGCAGTTTGCCTGGGATGTGGCCACATTTGTCTACATTTCTGAAAACACTGAAAAATACGTGAAACCTGAAACATCACTGCATTTCAGTGTTCATTGGTAGCTTCTTTGCTTTGAGGAAATCCCTGGACTACAGGAAATGTTAAAGATCGAATTCCATGGCAATGCAAGTTCATATATCCGACTCTGAACTTAGAGAAATGTGTTTATTTTTCTAGTTTTAATAACTAGAAGTGTGATGTTCCATTTTACTTGCCAGTCAGGAATGGGGTACTCACTCAGGTTCCTGTGCTTAGGTTCACACAGCAGTGACAGGTGTAGTCAAAACAACATCCTTTTATTAGCAAGAAGACACAGGGAGCAACTGGTTTCAGGACAAGGGAGTTCATCCATTAAAGAGGAATTACACTGGCTACTCTGAGAGTTCTTCCCATGAAAGAGGAATTACACTGGCTACTCTGATGCCACACTCCATTCATATATGGCTTGTTCGTGTACAGTGGCAGTCTTTAGCATCCTTATAGGTCACCTGAGAAGAGCAGTGGCAGAAATAGTAGTGGTAGTACTAAGCATTTATACAGTGGTTTCAGTAGTCAAAAGGCTTCACTTGTACTATCAGGTTGTGCTCTTTACAAGAGATCCTAAGGCAGGATAGTATTACAAATATTTTCTTGGCCTACAGCCCTAAGGGAAGTCAGGATAAATATTTTAATTAATATATAATATTATTTACCTCATACTGCAGATGAGTGTGAGCTTATCTAAACCCATCTCATAAATTCATGGTAGAACCAAGATTTGAACCAGGAACCTCCCAGATTCACAGCTCATTCTTTTATGCTACATCAGTTCCAAATACAGGAACTGGTTGGCCACTGTGCAAGACAGGATGCTGGACTGGATGGACCACTGGTCTGATACAGCAAGGCTCTTCTTATGTTCTTACAGTAGAAGAACTGAAACTGTGCAGGAA